GAACCAGCAAGAAACCCAGCGGGACTTTTTTTTAAAGCATATTTTACATTAATGGTTGGTACAAAATTTATTTTAGAAACAGCTTGGAAGCGACCACCTCATTCACAGGGGTTATTATCAACCATATATTCATTTATACTATAATAACCCTTTTTATACAGTTTCAGCTTAATAAAACATTTAAACTTGGTAATAGAGAGACCCTGTACACTTTCCGGGACCTTGTCTTTTGATCTTTGTTTTTGTGAACATACATTAAATTTTCGTGAATATACTGAGAGGCCAAAGTTAATATATTAATTTCTTTAAATTTATCTCTAAGAGACTCTCTCGGTTTTAGATTGTAAATAGCTCTAATGGCCCTCTTCTGTAAAACAAAAATAGTTTCTGAATCAGCCGCATTTCCCCATAGCAAAATCCCATAAGACATTATGCTATGGAAATAACTAAAATAAACTAATCTAGCTGTCTCGACACTAGTGAGACCTCTAATCTTTTTTACAGCATAGGCTGCAGAACTTAGTCTGCTTGCTAATTTGGATATATGGGGGCCCCACTGGAGCTTTGCGTCAAGAGTGATGCCAAGAAAAACAGTGGATACAACAAGGCTCAATTCCTTCCCATTTAAAAATACATTGGTATTCAGATTTTTAACATTCGTTGTTGTAAATTTAACACAATTAGTTTTATTTCCGTTCAAATGCATATTATTAACGTTAAACCAATGCACTAATTTTGATATAGCATTATTCACTTCGTCACATTTAAATGATTGACGTTTAAGTTTAAAAATCAAGGAAGTTTCATCAGCAAATAATACTATATCATGACTATCCCCTACAAGGTGAGGTAAGTCATTAATATACACCAGAAACAGGAATGGGCCGAGAATCGAGCCCTGAGGGACACCCATTAGTACAGGTGACCCGGAAGAACTTTTACCATTGATAATAACTTTCTGCATTCTATTACTTAAATATGAAATAATAAGTTTAAGCGCTTTGTTCTTGAAACCATAGTTCTGTAGCTTCCTGATTAATATCTCATGGTGAACACAGTCGAAAGCCTTGGAAAGGTCACAAAATATACCCTAAGCATCCTCTCAATTCTCCTATGCATAAAACATATGTTTAATAAGCTCAACTCCAGCGTCAGTTGTCGAGCGACCCCTTGTAAAACCGAATTGATTTTTATGTAGCAATTTATTAATATTGAAGAAACTTAACATCTGATCTAAAATAATTTTTTCAAAAATTTTACTTAATGTTGGTAGTACAGAAATTGATCTAAAATTGGCGGGGTCTAATGTACTACCAGATTTAAATATAGGTATGACTTCTATTATATTCTAACTATGTTTCGTTAAATCAGGAAACACACCAGATTCGACGCTTATATTAAATATAGTGGCTAGATAAGGTGCTAATGTATCTATTATAGATAAAATAACTTTAACGGAAATCCCCCATAAGTCTGCCGTTTTCTTAACATCAATAGTTTTAAAATATTTAACGATATCTTTTGGCAGTACCCTATGGAATTTAAAAGTATTTGAACAAGCCTTTACATTTTGTTTGAGCAATGATTCGGCGACAGTAGGAGAAGAATTTAATGATTTTGTTGTCAAAAAAGGAACATCCGTAAAATGTTTCTCAAAAGCCATAGCAACTTCTTGATCAGATCGTGTTAAATTATTGTTAATATTTAATTGAAAATCCGAGTTGCGCGGTTTGACCTTGCCCGTTTCACTATTTATTATTCTCCAGGTAATTTTAATTTTGTCGGATGCAGTTTTAATTTTGTTGCTTAAATGTAAAGCCTTAGCAGTGGAGCACACTTTTTTAAATATTTTAGAATATGTTTTTACATAATCTCTAAATATAACACTACTATTATATGATCTTTCATCATAAAGCTCGTATAACCTTCGCCTACTTTTATAAATTCCTACTGTCGCCCATTCATTAAATGATTTGCGACTGTTAAGAGAGAAAGTTTTAGAAGTAAATATTCTACTAAATTCACAACGTATGATTTCAAATAATGTAGCTTACAAATAATTAGCACTACTTTTAAACGAAAGTGATGGAAGTCTTTTTATTATATTACTTCTAAACCTCTCCAAGCGATGTTCATTTATTGGAACAAACACAACTTTCTTATTTTTCTGTTTTTTGTGTATGTAAGGTAGTGATACTAACTGTCCACAGTGATCTGAACTTAAATTTTGAATAATTGATTTATGCAAGGGCTTAACATCTGTTAAAATGTTATCTATACAGGTCGCACTAGGCCCTGCAATACGTGTTGGTTAAATTTCTTTTTCATTGGTCTTCGCGGGAAGCGAATACTTGTTCCTCTGCTTTGAAATCTTACGGCGAGTAACAAGGATCTCGTATTTGCCTATTGTATAACGTTCATAAAAACTGAAAAAAAGCTTTTGCAATATTGTGGATCCCATCCACCTCGTAATTAGTCATTCATACTGTTCCATCATTTAGAGATGAAAATCTTACTGTCCACTAAATTTTCAATTACATAATTCAACTAAAGACAATTTTGTCCTAATCACAGTTTTGTGTACACAGTTCTGCTAGTCATTTTGCTAAAAGTGATAATAACGATAAATCATCCCGACACCGGTTTAGATATTTAAGTCTGATAATTTTTGATGCTGGAAGAATAAATATTCAATAGAATTCTCTTTAATTTCATCAGATACTAATTATTAATTTATTTAGCATTAAGTAAATGGCGCTATTATCAGATCAAACTATGAAAACAAAAACTGTACCCTCTAGTATTCAGCGACTAGTTACAACAGCGTTAAGTTGAGGTGTGACTGGGGTGGCCCAATTACACAACAAAACTGGGATTATTTATATTATACGTAAATTAGGCATAATGTGATGTAGATTATATTAAATAAGTATTCTGCTTCTTTCAAAAATACGCTATCAGCGCTGCTAGCGGTGTGTAATGAAATTATTTTACGATATAACAATATGAAGAAATAGCAATATTGTGTTTAGTTGTTAATATCGCTAAACGATCTCTATTTATTGATTTAGTCAAGCTATATCATGATATATAGTCAAAAAACAATTTAACAAAAGATTTTTTTGTAGTTTACTTCATTATTTACTTTTTATTCTCTTTATTGTTTACTTATATTAAATCATTTATTATTTGATTTTTATTGTTTATACTAATATTTTCGTTTATAAAACGCAAACTTGGCTGGCTGGCCCGGGTGACCCACTCAACAGCTTTGTGTCCAGTAGAATAGAATATAATAGAATAGAATAATTTTTTATTCAATATACATTACATGTGTAATTCTTATTGAAAGTCATTTTTTACTTTACCACTGGGTCGAAAAAAACCCCTCTGTCCTGGAAAGAACCAGCAAGAAACCCAGAGGGACTTTTTTTAAAATAAATTTTACAATATATATAATTACGAACTATTTACAAAATTTATTTTAGAAACAGCTTGGAAGCGACCACCTCATTCCCAGGGGTTATTATCAACCATGTATTCATTTATACTATAATAACCCTTTTTATATAGTTTCAGTTTAATAAAACATTTAAACTTGGTAATAGAGAGAACCTGTACACTTTCCGGGACCTTGTTCTAATAGCGTATACATTGCCCCAAGAATGAATTACTGACTCTGTGGAGTCGAGAAAGTGATGACTACGATCAGTTTATAATCAGTAAATAGTTAGTGGCAACTCAGGCTTAGTTCTTTTTTCTAGTAAAGCGGTTCGTGCTGCTCGTGCCTTGGTCTTGTGCTCTTTATTTACTAAGCTACACCCTTATAGGTAGTTAATGAAGAAAAAAAAACAACTATTAAACAACAACAAAATCCGTGATCCCAGGAGGTTAATCACGAGGCTAAAATTGTAACTAATATCTTAAGTGTTTTATTTTGTACGGTCACGGTGTAAGGTCAGATATGCTGTTAGGGGAATTATCTTATTATATCAATTGATTGTATCTATCATTTTACAAGAATGGGAAGTGGCAAGAACTTTTATTTTGCGGACTTCAATAAAGGAAGAGGCTTATAAATAGACTGTTATGTTTTTTTAACGAAAATAATTATTATAAATTTAGGCGATATCTTCGCTATAGGGAATGAAGTTTATAAAGTAACTATTCAGACAATATTGAGATTGAGATATCAATCCACTTAGTCCACTCAAAAGGTTAAAAAAATATTTTATTTTTATTTTTTACAGTCGGCTTATATTTTTAGTTAAAAGTTAATTTTCGCATAACATAAATACTAATTTTTAGTAAATTCCCTACGTAGAAAAGTGTAACATTTCTTTTGTCACTCACACATTTTGGTCTTCTTAGGGTCAGATCACACCGAGACCTGATATTTTTTTTAAGGTTGATACAAAATATAACTTTATTTAATACATAAAAAATATTTACATTTTATTGAGATAATTCGAAAATGACCCGCGTTGCGCTACGCCTCGAGATGCCTCTCGACGAAGCGCGACGCCTACCGAAACTGCGTAATGCAGCGCGAAGCCGCGAGGCGCAGCATGAAGCTGTCGTCACATGAATAGTTTACCTACTCATGTTTCGCGTAGTGTATATTTTCTTTGCTCATGTGCCGTCGTCGCGCATCCTGAAGCCGTCGTCGCGAGTTGTCTCTACTATTATTATTACCGCGCGGTGTCCGCTGCGGCGCTCGTCGCGAGGCGCATCGTGATGCGCCTTGCGACGTCGCGCTGTGCGGTGCGAAACCACTGGCCTCTTCAAACATTGTCGCGTCTCTGTGTGAACGGATCCTTAGTTCATAATACGTTTTTATCCTATTTATCGTTTAATGCAATATGAGTTTAGTTATCTGGCGTACGCCTTATTAATATTTTATCGCCGATAATCTTAAGAGCTGTCACGATTCAGATAGTGGTATTTAGTGTTTGCAGTGGCATGGCATCAGTGGATACTGGTGGTTATACGGTTTAACCATGGTGAAGAGTACGGTATGCCTTATAGCATTATTGAGTGTCGTGTTTGGACAGAACAATGGACTGTACGAGTTGAACATCATACATTACAATGACTTTCATGCCCAGTAAGTTTTCTTTATAACATTTTCTAATATTATTTCTTACTATCATTGGTTGTAAGAATTATGAAGCAACTCATTTCCCAAGTGTGAGTGGCATCTGTACGCGGTGCAACCTTCTTACTAACGAACGAGGTATTCTGGCAACTCGTAAATGCTGATTATGTATTCAAAAACTGAACCCAATAGAATCGGCTAATAGTTTATTATATCTCTAACCTTATTAATTAGTGCTATTACCATCCTAAGGTAAGTAAGCGAGCTATGGATATGTATATTAGTGTAATGTTTGTAATGTTCTCACAGTATGTGAGCAACCCGGGTTCGATCCCTGCCGACACCAATGAAATTGGCCGTGAAGGAATATATCCTAAGGAGACCTGCATGTGTGAAAAATAAAAAATATTTCAAAAACATGTGAAATCTGCCAACACGCATTGAGGCACTGTGACGGAAATTTCGTTGCCCTAAAATCCTCTCAGAAATGAGAGTAGAGCCGTCTATAATACAAACCAATATAATACTCTAATATGGTTTTGTGCCCAGCTGTGGGACATAATATATAGGATGTAACTTTACTTAAAATGGATCGGTAAGGTAAAGTGGCAATGGCAATATATAGGATGTAACTTTACTTAAAATGGATCGGTAAGGTAAAGTGGCAATGGCAATATATAGGATGTAACTTTACTTAAAATGGATCGGTAAGGTAACGTGGCAATGGCAATATATAGGATGTAACTTTACTTAAAATGGATCGGTAAGGTAAACTGGCAATGGCAATATATAGGATGTAACTTTACTTAAAATGGATCGGTAAGGTAACGTGGCAATGGCAATATATAGGATGTAACTTTACTTAAAATGGATCGGTAAGGTAAAGTGGCAATGGCAATATATAGGATGTAACTTTACTTAAAATGGATCGGTAAGGTAACGTGGCAATGGCAATATATAGGATGTAACTTTACTTAAAATGGATCGGTAAGGTAACGTGGCAATGGCAATATATAGGATGTAACTTTACTTAAAATGGATCGGTAAGGTAAAGTGGCAATGGCAATATATAGGATGTAACTTTACTTAAAATGGATCGGTAAGGTAACGTGGCAATGGCAATATATAGGATGTAACTTTACTTAAAATGGATCGGTAAGGTAAACTGGCAATGGCTCGGTCATATAGCTCGAAGAACCGATAACCCATGAAGAGCCTCGTTCTGGTAAGCCAAATATAGGGCAGCCCTCCACTTGATGGAGTGACGACGTGGTAAGAGAAGTAGGAAGTCGATGAAAGCAGGTGGCTTGCGCCGTGTTTTGTGGCATACTTCGGTGGAGGCCGATGTTTAGCTGTGGACTTGTGGACAGTAATGATGATGACGGTGTGTTAATTATGAGGAAATCTTTCATGGTTGCCTGTATATTGCTTGCTTGAAGAGGGGTATATCTAGCAGTGGATATAGAGATCGATTAAGATAAAAAAATATCTAGTAAATTATTAATTTATTTTTTTATTTTAAGAAAGCTATAATTATACGGATATTTATTTTTGAAGCCATCATATTTTTTCTTATGAAATGAGTGTTGTTATTGAATAAATATATGGGTATTAAGTAAATCGGAAAAGAAAAACGTTAAAATTAAAAATAATGCTTTAACTTCATTTTTGCACTTAAACTTGGCTCGGCCATTATTATATTATAAGCCCACATTTCTTAGAGTCCTCAAATTACGTCTTGAGACTCATATTTTTTATTAGTACACAGAGAGACTAAAATATTTGATATTATAATCAATCATGACGTCATTATCACCGTTATAATATAGTTTAAACTAAGGCTTGCTTTAACTTTTTTTAGCTTCGATGAAGTCAGTCCGACCGGAGGGGTTTGCAAACCAACCGAGAGTTGCATCGGGGGATTCGCTCGTCTGTATACGGCCGTAAAGCAGGCTTTGGAAGCAGAACCCGATTCGCTGCTTCTTAATGCGGGGGACACATTTCAGGGTACAATCTGGTACAACTTTCTGAGGTGGAACGTCAGTCAACACTTCATGAATATGCTTCCGCATGACGCTCACGTAATTCCTTTTGATTTGAATAAATAAAAATTAAATAGGTATTGGATTATTTGCATTCATCTATTATCTATTTTACTTTTATAATTGTTAAATTCTTGATTAGATAACATCGATCACAGATTACAAGGAATTAGTGACTCGAATAAAAAAAATCGCCTCTTGTTTCAACATTTTCTATTTATTTAACTTCCTGACTGTTAGGTATGGGTCACTGCAACCACTTACTATCAGGTGGACTGTGTGCTCGCTTGTCACCCTTATCCTATAAAAAAATTATTTAATTATCGTAAGTATATGCAATAAAAATATAAATTACGAGATATAGGCATTTATTTGTTTATTGTTTCATCCTTAAGGTTCTTGGTAACCATGAGTTTGACCACGGCGTTGAAGGCTTAGTGCCATATCTAGAGCGCTTAAACTCAACAATGTTGGGTGCCAACGTGAATACCACATTCGAGCCTGAACTAGGAGCCTATGTCAAGAATCATGTAGTGGTGACACGCCGAGGAAGGAGGATCGGTATCATTGGAGTGCTTTTGCGACAGGTTAGTTTAGTCAAGTTCGAGTTGATATCGCGTAAGAGAATTCAGTTCCCATTCCAAGTAAATGTCAAGTAAAAAAAATTCAATATCAAAAAGGGAAATCAGATTGCGATATGACATGTTTGTTTTTTATCTCAAAACAGGTGTTTGATAAAAAAAACTGAATTTTTTTCATATTTATGATAAGATTAAGTACCTAATAACTTTGTCTTCTTCCGGTTCTTGATCATAAGCCTAGGTGTTTGATTAAAAACCTGATTTTACCATAAACCTGCGACATGTATAAAGATATTCATGAATGTTTTATGTCATTATTCACGATTGATTAATGAATAAATAACGATTATTACAGCCAACTGCAACTACCTACCGCAGCTACTGCTGAACATCTGCTGAAATCACTCCTAAATATAGCCCAATACCATTCTTTGCTAATTTATATTACCTAGCTATATAAATATTACCATAGATTTTAGAATACTATGTTATTTAATTTAGCTTTCTTTTAGTTTTCCGCGCCAATAGGACAAGTTATAATGGAGGACGAGCTCGAGGCCGTTAACCGTGAAGCAGCAATACTCACGGCACAAGGCGTCGATATCATCATACTGCTGTCTCACGTCGGCTACACAAGCGACTTGTAAGTATTATCCACATTGTGATCGCTAATTACTTTGAATCATGAAACCTGGATTTGAATCTTGGTTGGGGCCACAATTTTCAAGCAAAAATTGTCGGCCTTTAAGTTTATTTCACTTTTTATTTGTCAACCCGACGCCCGGCTCGCATTCGCAGTCGCATTCGCACAGAACGGCTTTGCCGCTTGCAATGCGTACAGCAATGGAGCTGGCTTTCGATCCGACAACAACTCGGGCGTCTTCAAATATCTGTTTTTTTATAAAATTGATTATCAACAGAGACCTAGCACGCCGCGTGTCACCATCGGTGGACATCATCGTAGGCGGTCATTCTCATTCCTTGCTATATAATGCCGAAGCTCCGGATAGCACCAGACCAGTCGGTGAATACCCGACTGTGGTCACAAGGGATGACGGACGACGAGTAAGTCTTATTTCTCAATAACATTAAAAATGATTTCGTTCTTTATTGCAGATTAGGCGTACCTAATCGTAATCTTTGATAAAAAATATTAGCAGTACTACTCGTCTCGAATTTCTGGCGATGATATTTTATGGTTAAATAAACTGGTTGAGTTTAGAATTAATAAACACAATTATCTAATACATGTATAAAAATTAATGTTTCTTTGTTCGTAAAAATACTCTGCCATATCGTTCATCAGATTGCAGCAAAACTTTGCCAACTTATTGCTCTCACTTGCCCGAAGCGTTGCCCGCATCTAGGTCCAGCATCGCATGAGCTCCATGGTACCCTAATATTGCATGTTTATTGGAGTTACATTAGTAGCCCAAATTTCAGCTCTATTGAATGTCAGCAAGTGCTTCAAAAATTAATTAAATTTTTGAAACTGGAAGCCAAGTACAGGGGCTAAGCGCTCGCTGTTAATTTTACAGTACGCGAGCAACCCGAGTTCGGTTCCTGTCGGCACCTTTGAAATTCTTAATTGCAATTTTAAGTGCTCGGTTGTGAAGGAAAGCATTGTTAGAAAGCCTGTATGTGTGAGAAATTAAAAAAAATATTTCGAAGATCTGGGACAGCGCGACGGACACTTACTTGCCATAAAATCCTCTCAAAAATGCGAGGAGGCTTGTGCCCAGGAGTGGGGCATATATAGGCTTTAAGTTCATTTTTTTCAAATCTGAATTTTGATGCTTGATCGAGGATAATGCCACAGTACACTTACATGATGGTAAGTGAATACTGTGTCATCAGGTAAGTAAATCTCGTTTGTCACTCTTCTACAACATGTAACAAAAATCCTGTGGTTTACGTTAAGTGTGTAGTCAGAATCAGTATTTAAACGTATAGAAATAACTTCGGAAAACTCGACCATTTGGCCGGGGATATAAAGTATTGTCACAATTCAAATTCAAATTAATTTATTTCAGATAACAAGATCCATATCATTGAAAAACATTGATTAATTGATAATAAAAATAATAATATGTCATTAAAATACTATAAAATACAATTAAAATACATTGAAATATACAATACTATAATACAATACTATTGTGAAAGACCGCGCCGTGTCAGTTAGAGGTAATAAAACACAAACAATTTGCAAATAAAAAATTATTCCAATTTAATTTTTTATATGGTCGAGTTTTCTGAAGCAAAGTTATTTCTATAGGTTTGAATACTGATTTTGATAATGCACTCAACGGAAACCACGGAGATCTTGTTACATCTTGTATGAAAAAAATTCATACGTAGGTACCACTGATTTTATATCATAAGTGCGGTCATCACCCAATACATATTTCATTATAAATCATTAAGGGTAATCATTAACCATCTTCCCATTGCTGGACACATGTCTCCTGTCAATTTTGATAATGTTTTTGGAATAGAAAAGAGTTCACCGCGCTGCCTTATGCGTATAGATGAACTTCTTAAGTCATCAAAATATTTTAATTTTTCTTCATTATTGTCGTTAACAATTTCTTTGGTGTTGGCGGGGATCGAGCTCGGGTTGGATGTGTATCTTATTTATTTAATCTTAAGTTTAAAGATAATGTCCAGCTCTAAGCTCGAGCTCTAGGCTCGATTCTTACTCTATGGAACAATATTTTTTTTTAATTGATCCTAAAATGTTGTCCTGAACTTTAGATTCTGGTGGTGCAAGCGTACTGTTACACACGCTACTTGGGCAATATAAAACTGTATATAAACGAACAAGGCGTCGTAGAGTCGTGGGAGGGAATGCCCATCTACTTGGGGACATCTATTGTGCAAGGTAATTATTTGATGAAATGCACTATAATTATTTGATTGTACCTAAAAATCTACTTGCGGTTCTCTCCTATTTCAATTTCATAAATTCTAATTTTATATTAGTACTAGCTGACCCGGCGAACTTCGTACTGCCTAACAGTCGATTCTTTAATTATTTTTTTTAATACTTATTCGGGGCACCGGGTCAGCTAGTAAGATAAAAAAGTATAAAGAAAGTTGATAAGTCAACAACTACATTTTGTCAAAAAGATTATAAAACACTTAAAATTCTTTTAATAGTCACTAAACATCACAATGAAATGATTTCTTACTATGATACCTACTTATTATATTTCATTTTATTTTTACTTATTCTAATTGACAAATATTGACATTAATATTTATACGATACTAACCGTTTTGCCTTCCCGGAACCCCTCCACTAACACTTAAACTTTATGTTATGGTATTAAAGTTCAAATTGACTTTTAAGTATTATTACGAATCTTTTGTATGGGAATATAGAAAAGTGTTGTTTTTAGACTTTTTCAGACAATTTTTTAAATTTTTCTCTCCGTAAGAACCATCTTCGTACTTCAAGAAATATTAAAAGTAAAGTAAAGTAAAGTTGCAGCCTATTTACGTTCCACTGCTGGGCACAGGCCTCCTCTCATTTCTGAGAGGGTTTTAGGGCAAGGAAATGTCCGCCGCGCTGCCCCAATGCGTGTTGGTGAACTTCACATGTCTTCGAAATATTTTTTTCTTATTTCTCAGACATGCAGGTTTCCTCACGATGTTTTCCTTTACCGCCGAGCACGTGGTAAATCAGCACTTAAAATTGCAATTAACAATTTCATTGGTGCCGGCGGGGATCGAACCCGGGTTGCTCGAGTACTGTGAATCTTACAGCGAGCGCTAACCATCTGAGCTACCACGGCTCTCAAGAAATATTATAAAAAAAGAATTAGCGAAATCGGTTCAGCTACTCTCGAGATTTGCGCTTAGCAACACATTCAGCGATTCATTTTTATATTATAGATTTCTTTGCTGCAATTCTTTTTATTCTTTAAAAAAGACATTAGGGTAGTTGATATTTCATTTGCTTTATTTTTTTATGATATTTCAACGATTCAACCAATATTTTCTAATTAACTGAAGAAATATTAAATAAGAGATTTAATAAATATTTTTTTTCAGATCCCCGCATACTCGAAGAATTAGAACCATGGAGACAGGAGGTGGATGCTGTTGGGAAAGAGGTTTTGGGCAGATCCCTGGTGACGTTAGGTCGGTCTTGTTACAGCGGCGAATGCAATCTCGGCAATTGGGCTTGCGACGGATTTCTCGAGCAAGTAAGTATAGACGAACCAGACATCTTTCACAAAGATGCGACAAACTGTTTTTTTATATAAGTATGCGCACATCTCTAAATAGCGTATAGTAAAATAACATATTGACTCAATATACCAACATACTATCACATTCTCTACATGGTAGAGCCATGGTGCAGCTATATTAGTAGTATAGTTTTAGCACGAATAGGTTGGCTCGACCGGGGAAGGACCACGCTCTCACAGAATACCAACGTGAAATAACAGCTTAACACTGCTGTGTTTCGTATGGTGAGTGCAGAGAACCGGAGACCCATTTTACTGGAAAAGAGGCGTTCCATCTTAGTCCTCACCGGTGACAACGCATCTGCATTTTGATTCGCTAACGACTATAGATAAAGATGTCTATGGGCCACAGTAACCACTTACCATCAGGTGGACTGTGTGCTCGTTTGTCACCCTATCCTATAAAAAACACATACATCAATATACAATATAATGTATTGCATTATACAGGGTTATTTTGCAATATACGCCCAAATGGTACAGTGAAAAAAAAAAATCAATAAAATCTCAAACATTCTGTTCTTTTTATCTTTTAAAATTGTGTAAATGCTTTTAAAGTGGTAATGCTTATTTAAATTGTCATTCATAAATACGTAACGCCTACTGTTTTACTACGCACACATTCGTAAGGGTCGTTCGGTCAGCAAAAACGTTGTGAATTGAATCCAACACAGAGGAGCGTGCGTACGCGCAGCATATTTCCTAAACTATAGAAATACCATGTACTTGCTCGTATATCTTGCCAATTTTTTTAAACAAGAAATAAGTTTATATGGATGAACCCCTATTGAGTTTACGGGCAGTCGTTGCGATCACCGCATCCACACTGTCAATGTCCGAGACCCTGTGTTCCGATGAATGTCCTTGGGTTGGCTGCTCGACATTGTTGGGGTTTGGCTTGTCGCGGAGATCCACGCTGCAGCTTTGACATCCTCTTTTCAGCCGAAGTGTCCCCCATGCAATAAAGGATGCGATGATAACTCCAACTATAGTGTACAACACATAGTTGTGTGTGTTATGTATACGTGATTGTACACTCAGCGTTTGTTGCTGTTCCTTGACCTTATCAATGTTGTTTTTCAGCTCTTATAAGGCATCTTTATGATCTTCAGGAACAAATGTATGATTCAAGTCTGTCAATATGTGGTTCAGACTTGATTAGCGTATCTACATTCTTTCTTCACTGCCTGTTAGTTTCAACTCGCTGTGATAGTCGTTGCGAGCATGAATGATGAAGCTTATTCCCTTGAGCATACACCCAAGTCCGAGTGACATAATCCCCGTGCCGTGTTAGTGCTGTTACATCACTCCAGCTGGGCAGAAAATGCGCATCGTTCAGTATTCGCAACAGGAGAACAGCCACGCACTGCCATTGTGTAATCGTACCCACCTGTCGCTGCAATCCAATACTCTTGTGCGGCATGTTGATAAGTCGCCATTGTCTAACATATGCGCTTTATATAATGTATCGGCTACCTCGATGTTGTAAATAGGTTGATTGATTAGCACATAACATTTTGTTTTCTTGAAGATTTAAGCACGATGATACATCTCGGTCTTCTAAAGGCACTATCATGTCCCTTTTTAGGTTTAAAGCGAGGTATTCAGAATTGAGTACTATAGTTTTCTCTGTATGTCCAGTTATTTGCGGAATAGGAATGATGCGGTCAAGTTCACATTGTTCGTTGTTTATTAGCGGTAGCTTCACTTCGAATATTAGGTATGCACTTGTTAAGAGCACGTGCCCTCGCGCCAGCTTGTACAGGCTTCGCGTGCACAGGATAGCGATCACTCACTTGGTAAGTGACCGGAGATGATGTTAAGGTGCTCTTCAAATAGGTTAGGAGTTGCTGTTGTGTTCGTCGTATGTTTGAAATGATCAAGTTCACGGCCAGAGTGGTAGCTGTTATGCAAGTCAGCAATGACAATGCTATGTGTCACGGCTGACTTGTATGCGTTTTTCAGTTTCAGCGAGATGATTGTCAATGATACGAAATTAAAAAAGGTTGTTGAAGAGTTTTTTTGGCGTTGTTGTTTCTACGTTTTCCTGGTGTATTTCTTTCAGGCTTCGTGTGTCAACGTCAGAAGATGCAGTTGTATAAGATGACGGCTCCAACGGAGGGCGTGACAATTTGGTAATCAGTCGCTTCATATGACTTGTTTTAGTTTTCAGTGTGACGTAGTTTCAGTGTCATGTCATTACCCTCAGTGGATGGAGGTTGTTCAAGAGAAGGCTTGCCGATCAGGAAGTGAGCAGGTGTCAAGCAGTCAAACTCTTCGACATTCTCTGACAACGCCACCAGGGGGCGAGAGTTGAGACATCCTTCAATTTGTGCCAAAAGTGTGTAAAATTCCTCGAACGTAAGTTTTTGATCCCCAAGTACTCGTTTGAGGTGATGTTTCAGGTTTTAGACTGCAGCTTCGTAGAATCCATCAGCAGTAGGCCAGGAAGGAGCGTTAAAATGCCATTCAATGCCCCACTCTGACAGGTTAGTTAGGAGTTAGGACATCATTGTTTATGTAGCATTGCAATGTCTCCTTTTGTTCTTTTTCCGATGTTCTTGCTGCGCCCACGAAGTCGGTGCCGTTGTCGCTGTACATGTGACGAGGCTTTCCTCGGTGGGCACACATTCGTTTCAAGGCGTTCAGAAAAGCCACTGTGCTGAGATCGGAGACAAGTTGGAGTTGAAGAGCCTTTGTGCACAGACACACGAATACCGCTACGTAGGCCTTCATTGTCTTTATTCCTCTGCCCTTGTTAGCCCTTACCTCCACATGTCCAGTGAAATCTACACTGGTGTGTGTAAAGGGCCGGGATGGTATTACGCGTGGAGGAGGTAAATCGGCCACGAGTTGGTTGTTGTTGATAGTTTTGAAGCGGTGACACGTGATACACCGCATGAGTTGTTTTTTCACTCCTCTTAAACCGCTGATAATCCAATATCTGTTGCGTAGATATGATAGGGTTAGTCTGGTTCCACCATGCAGGGTCCTCTTGTGCGCTTGGTCGATCAGTAACTCCGTTAACTTGTCGTTGTAAGGTAAGATAATTGGATGTTTCTGTTCTTGACTTAAGTTGGCATTTCCCACTGGTCCTACACGTAAGATTTTGTGCTCGTCCAGCAACGGGTTTAAGTTTAATATACTGCTTGTTATTCGCACTTTATAATGTTTATTCAGTTGTGCAATGTCGTCGGAGAAACGCTTAGTTTGTATAGCTTGAATAATTGCATTATGTGTGTTTTGCAGGTCTTGTTACAGTCTGTGAGTTTATTGACTCTATGATCTTTTTCATGAGTCGAGACAGTAGTAAGGCACCGCATAGTTCAAGGCGTGGTAAAGATGGTGGTTTTTTTTAATGGTGCGTGCTTAGTTTTTCCCGCCACCAACTTGATAATTTGTTGCCCATCTTTATCATTAGATTTACAGTAGATAACGCAGCCGTAGGCTTTCTCGGAGGCGTCAAAGAATCCATGTAACTCGATTGGTTGTTTGGTGTTACCAATCCAGCGTTGTAATGCGATGCTATTAACAGTGGGCAATTCTTGTTGAAAGGTTGAACATTCTTGTTGTATATTTTCAGGGAGAGGTTCATCCCAATTTGTTGAGGCAGTCCAAGCTTGTTGAAATATGAGTTTTGCCTTCATTGTTACCGGAGACAGCCAACCAAGGGGGTCATATAATTTTGATAGGTTAAAGAGTAATGTCCGTTTCGTTGTGACGTCAGTTACTTGAATGTAAACTGATCAGTGTGCGGATTCCAGGTCAAGCCGAGTGTTTTGTTACTCTCTGCATCCTTGAAGGCAAACATATTTTGGCTTATGAGTTGTTTAGGTAAAATTTGAAGCAATCTGGGGTGGTTACTAGCCCATTTGCGAAGATTGAACCCACCGCCATGTAACATGTCAATCAATTATTGCTTTTGATCGTCTTGGGCTTCTAAGATGTCGTTGCTGCCACCAAGTAGGTCATCCACATACAGCTGGTGAGTAAGGATCTCAGCTGCGAGCGGATAGCGGTGTCCATCGTCCATTACGAGCTGTATTATGGTGCGCATTGCCAAAAATGGCTTCATCTTCATCGTGTGTCAGTACTTCACGGTAAAACTTCTCAATGTCTGCAGTATAGACGTATTGAAAGGCTCGCCATCGCAGAATCATAGATAGCAGGTATTGTTGGAGGTAAGGCCCGCACTCCATGAGATCGTTCAAGCTTTGTCCTGTAGTTGTCCTCGCCATCGCAGAATCATAGATAGCAGGTATTGTTGGAGGTAAGGCCCGCACTCCATGAGATCGTTCAAGCTTTGTCCTGTAGTTGTCATGGCAGAGGCGTTGAAATTTTGTTATTTCATCATAGCGAAATTTCAAGTTCTCTCCGAAACCATTTAACGCTCTAAAAATATGCTCAACGTTATCAAAGTTGGTAGCTGGAATATGTTTTATGTAGTACACTGTGGATGGCTTATCTTCATTAGGCATTAACATGGATTTTGTAATGTACGTAACATTTTCATGATCTTGAACACTAAACATGGTACATGGATATTGAAACTCGATAACTCCAACCGACCATTCACCTTCTAATTTCATAGCTTTTGGTAATTTCGTTGAAAATTTTGTGGTCTTGTTATCAGGAATGTATTCCATTGAACTATTGCTGAGCAAAGTTAAATAAAAACTTTCTTTATTCATATTTCTTTTAAGCTAGAAGCTAAAATCCAACTACTATATTTATCTGGATAACCTTTCCACTTCACTAATACTTCTTTTCTGTTACCTGAATAACGAGTGTCAATTATTTTATCTATTTTATATTGTGAGGTGGTGCTGTAAGTGATTTTCTGTAATTCTCTTTCATAAAAAGTACCATCTATTGGTTCATTTTGTAAATCGGTTATTGTATAAACAACCCATGGAGATCTATCTATTATTGAAGATATAATAAATATTTCATCA